CCCCAGGCCACAGTATATTTTATCATTTAGGATCTGTTCAGGAGGAACTTCTGGGGGCTGGTTGGGACTTCACACCCAGCTTACTCTAACTGATTGCCGCGAGTTTATGTTGTTAATATCTGGATTAGTCTTTTACCCGTATAACTACTATACAGTGTAAGGAGGGGGTCATTTTTAAACTAACCAACCAAACCCACCAGACCAACCAAGCGACATATCCCACAGTCTCTGTTTGGGGTATGTTTTGTCAACAGCAGAAGGGACCCCCTACCCACCTGCTATCTGATACTCGGTTGTGAATACGAATGACTCCGTGGTCATAGCCACTTCCGTATGTCTCTGGAAATCTGTGCAGAAGGGAGAGGAGGAAGTGTTCAGTTTGTGCTGATGATCAGACGGCACAAGCTGGGGAGTGTCAGGATTTCTCAGTGAACGGGAACCCCAGAGGCTGGTGGAAGGGGTGTGAAAGACAAGGGTTTCACCCTTCTGCCCCGAGATACCACCCTCAGCCTGTTCTGTCCTCATCCTGACACTTGCTTTTGACACGTTTGAGGGGCGGGATGCGGGTGTGGATCCCTGAGCTGTGGACTGGAGGGGTTGCTCTGGGAAAACCGCCTCCCCCCTCTCTGGCATGACAATTTCAGGGCCCAGCTTTTACCATCCCAGAAATTCTAGACGTACCTGTAGTACTTGCCGTTACTGAGGGACAGGAAGTGTCACTCCCAGGAGCAGCATCAGTGCTGGCTTGAGGCTCTTCGTCATCTGGAGGAGAGAGGAGCTGATGGAGGTGGAGAGCGGGGTGGGGGGTCTCACGTACACCCTGCCCCGCCCCTGTCAGCTGATCCCCAGATCAGATCATAGTGCCATTCTCGGCAGGTTGTCTGGGGCCACAGTGCCGCGTGGCTCTCTGTCAGGGTTACAGGCAAGGGGGTAAGCAGTCCCGGCAAAGCTGGGTAACAGGGAATTTGGCCCTGATCCTGGCTCCGTGCAGCCCTGAGCAGTTCCTTGTTCTCACACTTTGTACTGAGCCCTGGTTTCCATCTGTGACTTGGAAACCAGTCATCATACTACAAGTACCCCTGAAACACCAAATGAAATAGAAATGCACAAAAGGACAACTTTTCTCTGTAACAGGGTCCCCGTTCCCTGTGGGTGGTTCCAGTTATCCAGGACACTGCCCTGCCTTGTCGTCCTTTCACACGGGAAGTGACAGACACCCTGGCCAGTGTGTGGCTCACACTGCGGGAAGAAAGCACAGCATCCCCAAAGAGTCCAAGAGGAAGACACAGGGTATGGCAAGTGGTGGTGTTCGGGGACGTCGTCAAAGAGATATGACCGCCAACTGACCCGTGGGCTGGACCTGGGCACCCAGAGGCTCCTCACCCCCTCCGCTGTGAGTGGGATGTGGGTTCCGCTTGCCTTTCCTGCTCCCAGAGGCTACTCCAAGGGCAAGCCTTGAGATGGTGATGTGGTTGAGACCACCTGCACAGTATACACGACTGAACCCAGTAAAGGCCTGTTCAAAAACTTTTAACATCTGGCAAGTGAGTGTGGAGATCCCTTCATCTCGCTCCCGCCCAGGACAAGCCTCCTGTGTAGGTTCCCTTTGCTTGTGACAACTGCCACCTACCAACAGTGGCCTTTGCCTGCCTCTTCCTTTGGTCTCTCCCTCCTGTGCTCCATTTATGGGGGCAGTTTCAGATTTCACCCAGGGAAACTCCTGGGGAGGGTTACCAACCGACAGGTGGTGAGCTAAGAATCCTGTGACACTTACAGTTGGTTACACGTAAGTAACCATGTACGGTTGGTTACATGTAAAAATAGTAATACGCTTTCGGAATGAAACTAGCAGACCTCAACCTAGGTGGGTGGTACACCTGTGTGAATGAGTGTGCATGTGCATGTGCGTGCGTGTACATGTGCGTGCTTGAATAGGCCCCTTGCCTGCACTTTTATCAAAGCACAGGTGGGGATTACAGAAGGAGAGGGGCCTGCTAACAGCGAGTGCTGTGCAAATAACGAGTTTACAATGACACACGTGTGGGTGGCAGGCTGGACCTGCCCTTTTGAATGGGAGGAAGCGTTGGCAGCTTAGAAGAAGAAGTTGAAGTTCAGGGTCAGCTAGGAAGGGGCTGCGTTATCACCAGTGCGGTGGCATCTGGGGTGCTCTGGGACACTGGCAAGGTCTTCCCTCCTCTTCCATTTCTGCCATTTATCCTTGCTCAGGGTACAGGAGACCTTAGGTGACAGAGACCTTACTTTATCTAGTCTATTTTCTAGAATGAGCAGAAACAGAGGCTCAGGGAGGTGAAGTGCTGTGCCCAAGATTACACGGCTGGTAGGTCAGGAATCCCATCCTGGCCAGCCCGATGGGAAAGCAGGGTGGTGGACCCACGAAGGGGCCACTGTACCTGGAAACCGGCCATCACTCCTTTCGCTTATGCACTGGAGTCGGGGCTGTGTCCACGTTGCCTTCCCACAGGTCGTTTTGCAGACACTCTTGGCAGGACCCCTCTTCAGGGCCCTGAATCCCTGCATGCACTGGTAGTGAACTGTCTGCCCCACCACAAAATGGTAAATTCTCCTTGAATCTTCATGTTCCCAGGGCGGAGGCTCCCTGCAGTGACCTGGAAGAGGAAAAGGAAATTCTCAAGGCAAGTTGGCGACGGCATGGTGAGTGAATCCCAGTTGCCCCTTCCTAGAGACTGGACCTTGGTTCTTATTATTTTGTTCATTCGTGCGTTCATTCATTCATTCTTTTATTCAACCAATACGTATTGAGAATGTCTCTGTGTCAGGAACTTTGCCAGGCTCATTGCAGGAAGGCACACAGACCCAGTGACTCCTGCAAGAGCGGACGATCGGTTGAGTGAGAAAGCAATGAGGGCAGAATGTACTGAGTATTATAGCTGAGCAGACACTTGCTGTGGGAACACAGAGGAAAGAGAAATTACTTCTGGTGATGGTGAGAGTTTCCATAAGTGGACAGGAGTGGGAAGGGCCGTCTCGGCTGAGGGACAAGGGGAGGCTCAAGCCCATTTGGGCCAATGAAATGTGCAGACCACTCTGGATCTCCACTGCTAAGTGAGGAGGTACATCCTCAGGTTGTGGCTTGTGGTCATCTTGGGGCCATGGCTGGAGGACTGAAGATAAAGCCAAAGCCGGAAGGAAGGAAGGGCTGAGAGAATCTCAGAGAAATGGAACCTGATCAAGCCATACCTAACGCTTGCCCTATGTGAGTCATGCCAAGGCCTCTGAAAATTCCTCATGCCCTCTAACCTTCCACTCGCCCAACTAAAACCCAAGCCTGACTGGTCTACAACCCCGGTGATCATGTCCTGCTCTGATTTATTCTCAGGATTCCCAACCCCACTCAAAATCTGCATATATGGAGCCATATGTACCCTCTCTCCCTAGACATGTGGAGCTATACATATGCCTTGACCTTACAGGCCTTGCACGGTCTGATTTCTTTTAAAGTATCTTCTATATAACCCTTCTGCTCCAGAGGGAAGTCCCAGGGGGAGCAGAGTAGTCCTGTCCTGCATGGTCTGCTCTAGTGTAGTACCTTACAAATCATGACCGCACCTGTGATTTAGTCTCAGAATAAAATTTCTTTTACAGCCAATAAAATCCATAATGGTCCGAACCTGTTTAAATTACATTTACTTCTTTCAAGTGGAAACATCCCCATTAAGATGATCTTTGAAAGGGCCCTTGGCCAGAACCAATGATTATCTCTTGAGTAAGGACAACAAACATTGACCTCCTGAGAAATCTTTCAATAACTGTGCAGGGGAAGATGGGAAAAAGAGAGAAAAACAATTAAATGTGTTTTGAAATGCCATTCAGTACAATGTTGGACGCACAACATAAAAACATCACGTTGCCACAACGCCCCTGGATTTGTCTTTTTTTTTTTAATAAGAGAAGCTGCAAATAAATTCAAATTAATTTAAAATAAGGAATCAGTTGAAAGATTCTCCAGTCTAATTCAGGAGACCTGAGGTCTTACTCCTAAGTGATGTGGGTTTAGCCGAGTATTTTAACCTCTCTGTATCTTAATTTCTTCAGTCAATCAAAGTAATAGTCCTGCTCCTTGACTCAGTGGGTTATGAGGTTCAAATGAAATTATATACAAGATGATAAACTTTTTTTGTAAGGTTATAAAATTAGCACAGGACAATAGGATCTTGTAAGGTCAGTGGGTCCTCCACAAGTCAGGCTTTCCTAACGGGCTCTATTTCTTCCTGACATAACAACCGGAGTGCAACATGATTCATTTTAGAGTTGCAGGAGCAACTGGGTAGTTAGTCATGGTGCCCACTCAGACCCGGCCCGTTAGCCAGGAGGTGCCTGCAGCTTCAGTACTCACCAGTGTGGTTCATTGTCTTAAAGGGAAAATGCAGAGCGTTTCCTTAAGGGCACAGAGGGTTGTGTACTCACATTTGTATCTTCGGTTGGCAGCGCTGGGCACAGTTAGTCCTAACACATGCTTTTTGAATTGAGTTCAATTGAATTGAATTGAACTGAATTGAATTGAATTGAACTGAGCTGAACTGAATTAAGTTGAATTGAATTGAGTTGAATTGAACTGAACTGAATTGAGTTGAATTGAACTGAATTGAGTTGAATTGAATTGAACTGAATTGAATTGAACTGAACTGAACTGAGTTGGGTTGAATTGAATTGAATTGAATTGAACTGAATTGAGTTGAACTCTATTCAGCCAGCTCCCAAACCAGGAGGAAGCCCAGAGCCCAAGTTGGCTTGAAATGCTGAGCAGCACTACCACCTGCAGACACGATACAACAGTTCTTGTTTAGCTGATATCCTTAAAGAAGAGGGTAGTGGGACAGACTTCCCTCCTTTGGGGAACACATGCTAAGAGAAGAGTTGGCTTCTGGGAGTCAGCCAGACAGCCACTCCGATGCACTTCTTACCTGGAAGGTTAACTTGGTCCGTGGGCTGCATTTGGCTCTGCATTCCCATGGGGCTTTTTCCCTTCTGTTCTTCAGGTTTAGGGATAATTTGTCCATCTGTGGCCCTTGGGGCTAGAGAACATGGATAGAAATGAAGCAAATCACTTCACAAATGCTTAAAATAGAAAACATTCTTGTGTGTTCATTTACTCAAGAAGAGTGCCTTTCCACTGCCTGCAACATGCCCAGCAGTATTGGGGTGTGGGGGTTACAAAGAGAAGCCACACCCTGCGCTGCCCTTGGGGTGCTTTCAGCATTGGCCTGTCCCTATCCCCATGCATGACAGCAGTGCCCTACCACATGTTTCTGAAAGAACTGGTAGATTTTCTGGGGTTTGTGTGTCTCCCCAACGGGGAGTCCATTCTGCCATCCATCTGCCAACCTGTGGGCTGACTCCCTTGTCTCCCTAAAGCAGCTCATTTAAAAGTTAAAGGGATGAAAAACTTAAAAAAAAAAAAAAAGCGGGGGGGCGGGGCTCCTGGGTGGCTCAGTAGGTTAACCCTCCAACTTCGGCTTAGGTCGTGACCCATCACCATGAGTTTGAGCTTTCAATATCGCGCCTCCCAGCTGATTTTTTTTGAGCCTGGAGTTCGCTTCGTGTTCTCTCGTTTCCTCATCTTTGTAAGGGCCTCCCCTCTGTTCTTCTCAAAAGTAAATAAACATTAAAAAAATTTTTTTTTTTAATTTTTTTTTTTCAACGTTTATTTATTTTTTGGGACAGAGAGAGACAGAGCACGAACGGGGGAGGCAGAGAGAGAGGGAGACACAGAATCGGGAGAAGTTCCAGGCTCTGAGCCATCAGCCTGAGCCTGACGGGGCTCGAACTCACGGACCGCAAGATCGTGACCCATGAAGTCGGACGCTTAACTGACTGTGTTATTCAGGCGCCCCCAAAAAAAAAAAATTTTTTTTTTTTAAAGTTAAAGGGATACAATCTTAAAGCAAGGAGGAGAGGAGCCTCCTACCACACTTGTCTCCATCGTGAAGATTTTGGCAAAGGAGTTGAGCATAGGCATTGCTGTGAAGGGGGTGGGGGGTCAGGGTTCTAGCTGGAGGTCTGTGGAGGGTGTGCTGGGAACAGCAGAGCAGTGCTCTCCAGACTGTGCAGTCCACGCGTGGTATAGCTGAAACAGAATGCACTGTGGCTCACGGACACCATCTCCAGGGGTAAGAAATAAAAGGACAGGGGGTGCCTGGGTGGCTCAGGTGGCTGAGTGTCTGATTCTTGATTTTGGCTCAGGTCATGATTCCAGGGTTGTAAGATCATTCAAGTCGTGTTCAGCTTCTGGGTGGGAGCTCGTTTGGGATTTTCTCTTCTCTCACTCTCTCAATCTCTCTCTCTCAAAATAAATAAACTTAAAAAAAAATATTAAAGGACAAACAGACCCACCAGTTTTCACCATGTTCTGTTATCACAGAGTGCATAAAAGACCTCGTAGAGAAATTGGTCTCGTGAGAGCTTTCAGGATTCAACTGAGAACAAATGTTCAGTAGCAAAACTATGGTATTAGACCAACTCAGGCTTAGAAAGCCCCTTGGGGGTCATTCCCTCCAAACTCCACTCCGCGGAGGTGACCAGCCACCATCTCCCAGCGAGTGGCCCTGCCTTCTCTGTTCACCCTCAACGGCAACGATGAGGTTTGGGACCCTTAGTGCACAGCTGGTTCCAGTCACTGCGGGCATTGAGGGCCACGAGGCTCTCAAGCCAGGTTTTGAAGTCCAGAGATAAAGACATTCGAGGAGAGCAACTTCCTCCTCCTCTCTGCTTTCCTAGTGCAGATTTGGGGCCTTGCTCACACACCAGCCTGACCCGCCTGCGGGTTGTTAATCCTGCTCCCCCAGCCCAGCAAGGGGCTTGTGAGACTGAACAAGAGGCAGCAACCTTTTGGGGGTAGTGGGGTCTTTGGGGGGAATACTCTTCGTGTTTTGGAATGCCCTGATGCTGGGCTGGGAAGGCCCGGGACCGATGATGCTTTCTGCCTGACCATATATTTGACCTCGGAAGACATGCCCGGAAGACCCCGTGGTGGCCACAGTGAATATGTGGGTAATAGATAAGACTCAAATTCAGTGACATGGGCTTCTCTTCCCTTTTTACTCTCATCGGGGGAGGAAAGGCCTCACCCACTGCCTCTGCTTTTCTACCCAGAGCCTCTTCCTTAGGGCTGCGGGGAAGGGCACTGAAGGAGAGGGGCAGAGGCATCGCAGGGACTAGTTAGGTGCTCACATGGCCGTGTCGCTGCAGGTAGAGCCAGGATAGGCGTGTGTCGACAGGCAGGGTGTGGGCGGCACCAGGCATGAGCTTCGGGGGCAAAATGCAAAACAGTAAATGCAGCCTGGCAGGTAGCTTCAGCCCACTAAAATTGTTATTATTTTTCTTATTCTTTGCATAGGCTCATTCTGACTCTTCTTTTTTCATTTTTAGCTTTAAAAGAATTGTGATAAGGGGCGCCTGGGTGGCTCAGTCAGTTAAGCATCTGACTTCAGCTCAGGTCATGATCTCACGGTCCATGAGTTCGAGCCCCACATCAGGCTCTGGGCTGACAGTATGGAGCCTGCCCGGGGTTCTCTCTCTCTCTCTTTCTCTCTGCCCCTCCCCCACTTTCACGCTTGGTTTCTCAACATAAATAAATAAGCTTTAAAAAACTTTTTAAAAAATTGTGATAAGTTATACATAGCGTAAAACTTACCATATTCATCATGTTTAACGTACAGCTCAGTGGCATTAAGTGCATTTACAGTGTTGCAAACTAGATTTATTTTCAAATTGTTCAGTAATTATTAGTATAACGTCTGTTCCCTCTCTCCCCGCAAAATGTAAGTTCTCTGAGTGTTGGGGATCCCGATTGCCTAGATCAGTCCTTGGAACTGGGAGGCACTTCTTAAATATTTGTTCAGTGAACTATTTTCCAGGAACCACTGAAATGAGTTGCTGGATAGCCTGGGCTGCCCACGTTTCATCTGTAGGGCTGAGTGAACAAAAAGCTGGAGCTCTGGCCCCCTCTGAGCTGTAGTCCTTCTGTTTCCTGTGGTGTCACAAAAGGGCACACTTACAGGTACTTATGCACTGGCATTTGTTTTCCCAGGAGGAATGGCTCGAGTTTCCTGCACACAGCATGAAGGCTGACCCGTTGCTTATTCTGCGGAAGCCCTTCTTACATTCACAATTTAACATGGTGCCCGTCTTGTATGTGAGGGCTTTGAATGTGGCGTGTTGGATATCTGGCGGGTTTTCATCACACAGTTCTGCAAAGAAAAGGAAGCATGTTGGGAGGTCAGGACCTTCCGGTCACGTGCTCACACACTTAGCCTTGCCATGATTTCATCACACATCCCTGCACTTTATTTAATAAAGGATTTATGGGTACCCCACATTTTCCTAGAAACAAACTGAGACCGTTGCCATCGTCCCGTAGAAACTTTTGTATCCGAGATGGCTCAAAATGTAACTTCAACCAACTTCCTCTCCAAATTACAATATGTTTCGAACTAAATGAATAGAAATGAATGAGCTTTTATTCTGAACATGCCTCGTGCTGGGCAAATATAGAAAGAGAGGAGAGTACAGATTATAAGAGGAAAGGAAGGAAGGGAAGCCATGTAAATTTAATTGAGGCACAACATGTATCTGTGAGAAATACTTTTCAGGAAATTAGGATTGTCGGAATTTCTATAAATAATGACTCCTTGCCATTTTTTCTTTTCCTTTTCCTTTCCTTTCCTTTCCTTTCCTTTCCTTTCCTTTCCTTTCCTTTCCTTTCCTTTCCTTTTCTTTTTTTAAGAGATATGTGTAAAGTGCTGTACTCAAAGTCTGGCAAGTAGGAAATATATATTTTTTTATCCCTCTGCCCATCTATGAGTTTACCAGATTCCTTCTCACACCACAAAGACCTGACCCTTTCTCAGCACCCTCAATAATCGGCACTGGCTTCCCACCAAGGACACTTGAAATAGTGGCCAAATGCCCAAGTATTAAGGGAGGAAAAAAAAGCGCTGCTCAAATCAGGTAAAGGATTCTATTGCATATCTTACAACAAGTTCTGCTTCAAGAGGTTCCATTTTTAGGAAAAAAGCCACAGGCTGGATAAAGAAAGTGGATAGGAAGACTTATAGCAAACAGAAGGTGAGAAAGGACAGCCTCTCCGTCCACCAGTACAGGCACCAAATCCAGTCTGGTTGCCGCACCGGCAAGGACACTCTACTGACTGCTTAGTAATTGCTCAGTTGGAGTGAAGCTTCTCTGTGCTCTTACTCTTTGCCCAGCATCTTGCTATGCTGAAGGCCACCCTCATCATCCAAAACCCAGGATGATCCTGATCTCCTGAATAACAGAAAGTGGGAGAGTGCGGACAGCGTGCCCCACTTCCGACCAAAAAGGGACTAAATTGAAGCAATTTGAATGGCTCGGAGGGCGAGCAATTGAAAAGGAACACATAACATATGCACTCGCTACATACTGGTAATCATAATCGATAATAAGGCAAGAAAGGTAGCATGGTGGAACAGGGGGAGAAGTGGGCTTCTAGATCCCAGCTCCACCAGCTTACTAGCTAGATAGCTTCATTGCTTTTATTTATCTAAGGCAATCCCCAAACCACGCCCCCCAGCAACTTATTTTGTGGACATCAGTGCTGATTCTAAAGTTTATATAGAGTGACAAAACAACCCAGAATAGGCGACACAATATTGAAGAAGAACAAAAATGGACGACTGAAACTACCTGACTTCAAGATTTACTATCAAGCTATAGTAATCAGAACAAGGTGGTATTGATGAAAGAATAAATAAATAGACCGATGTAACAGAATAGAGAGTCCTGAAATAGACCCACATGAATATAGTCACCCGATCTTTGACAGAAGAGCCAAAGCAATACCATGGAACCAGAACAGTCTTGTCAATAAATGGTGGTGGGACTACAGGACATCCATATGCAAAGAAATGGAACTAGACACAGACCTTATGTCCTTCCCAGAAATTAACTCAAAATGTATCTGGACATGTGAAGAAATAGGAAAAAGTGACCCATTTGAAAAAAAAAAAAAAAGGACAATTGATGGAGCATCTGGGTGGCTCAGTCTGTTAAGCATCCAACTCTTGATTTCGGCTTAGGTCATAATCAAATGGTTCATGAGATCAAGCCCCACGTCAGACTCTACAGTGACAGTGTGGAGCCTGCTTGGGATCCTCTTTCTCCCTCTCTCTCTACCCCTCCCCCACTCTCTCCCCCACTCTCTCCCAAATAAATAAACTTTAAAAAAAAACTTTAAAAAAGGAGCAAATTGAAAGAGTCTAAAATGACCCAGATTTGGGAATTAGCAGACAATTGACTGTCACTTATTTTTATAAGGAAAGTTTTAGAGGAACAAAGCCACACTCATTCATTTACATTTTGTCTGTGGCTGCTTTTGTGCTATAAGGGCAGAGTTGAGTGGTTGCAACAGAGACTACATGGCCTGCTAGCTGAAAATATTCACTCTCTGGCCCTTTAAGAAAAAAATTGTCAGCTACTAATTCTAAGGAAACATGATAATAATGAGTGAATCAATAGGATATCTCAGAAGATAAAACAAAACTATATAAAAAAAGAACCAAATAAAAATTCTAGAACTAAAAATTACAATATCTGAAATGAGCTTAGCCACACCTTGAAGACAAATCAAATAGAAATTATCCAAACTGATGAGCACAGAGAAAAAATTTCAAACAAAAATTTGAATAGACCTTCGGTGATCTATGGGATAATATCAGATAGCTTATCATATTTTTTAATGCTTATTTTTTTTTTTTATTTTGAGCAAAAGAGAGAAGCAGGAGAGGGGCAGAGAGAGAGAGAGAAAGACAAAGAATCCCAAGCAGACTCTGCACTGTCAGCACAGGGTCTGATGCATGGCTTGAGCTCACAAACCATGAGATCATGACCTGACCCGAAATTAAGAGTGGGACACTTAACTGACTGAGCCACCCAGGCACCCCAGTCTATCATATTTAACTGAAGTCCCAAAAGCAATAGGAGAACAAGAATGGAGCTGAAAAAGTATTTGAAGAAATAATGGCCAAAAAAGGTCTGAAATTTGATGACAAACATTGACTTACATTTCTAAGATGCAGTTAGAAATGTAAGCAGTTAACTCCAAGCAGCATAAATATAAAGAAAACCACACCTAGGTACATCATAGCGACACTGCTAAAAACCAAAAATAATGAGAAAATCTGAAAAATAGAGAAAAAGGACATGTGACATACAGGGAACAATAGTGAGTAACGACGGACTTTTCAGCAGAAACAATGCAAGTCAGAAAATGAGGGTAGAATAGGTTTAAGGTTGTAAAAAGAAAAAAAGCCTGTAAGTCTGGAATTCTATCTAGAAAACATATCTTTCAAAAATGAGGATGAAATTAATATATTTTCAGATAAAAGAAAGCCTAGAGAATTTGTTACCAGCACACCTGCGTTATGAAAGATAATGCTGAAGGAAGTTCTTCAGGCTATAACAGAAATACAGATCTACAGGAAATAATGAAGAGTGCTGGTAAATATGTACATAAGTGGAAGGATCAGCTTTTAATTTCTTTGAAAGAAAACTGTTTAAAATAAAAAATCATGTATGGTGAGTTTTATTATAGGTATAAATGTAAAATATATAACAACTACAGTATAAAGGTTGGGATAGAAAAGTGGAATGTTTCTATCATAAAGTTCTTATAATATGGAATGATACAATATTAAGTCTAAGGGGATTATGATAAGTTAAGGATGCATGCTAGAAAGCTTAGAGAAACTGCCAAATAATAATACAAAGAGCATAGCTAAAAATGGCAATAAAAGACATAAAGTAGAGTATTAAAATACTTATTTTGTTAGCCAAAATTAAGAGAGAAAAGGGAGAACAGAGGAATACAAAACCAAATGAAACACCTGGGAAACAGACAAGAGGGCAGACTTAAAGTCAACCACATGAGTAATTATATGAACCATACACCAAACACATAAAATTAAAAGATGGAAACTTTGAGACTGGATAAAACAGCAGGACCCCAACTCTGTGCCGTCTACAAGAGAACATACTTTAAATACAAAGACAATGATAGGTTGAAATTAAAAAATATAAAAAGATATTATGCAGAGTATGCATAAGAAAGCTGGGGTGGCTACATTAACATCAGAAGGTAGATTTCTAAAAATTTTTTTTTTTCAACGTTTATTTATTTTTGGGACAGAGAGAGACAGAGCATGAACGGGGGAGGGGCAGAGAGAGAGGGAGACACAGAATCGGAAACAGGCTCCAGGCTCTGAGCCATCAGCCCAGAGCCCGACGCGGGGCTCGAGCTCACGGACCACGAGATAGTGACCTGGCTGAAGTCGGACGCTTAACCGACTGCGCCACCCAGGCGCCCCAGAAGGTAGATTTCAAAATAAGAACCGGCATTCACAAATTACTTGATTGCTTACGTAAAAGTACTAGGAAATCTGCAAAATAACTACTAGAACTTAGTAACTTTAGCAGTCTCAATATACAAAAATCACTTGTGGTTAGTTCTGTATGCCGGAAGCAACCAATTACAAAATTAAAAAATTTAAAAACAATTTCATTTATGATAGTATCAAAACTCGTAAAATACTCATGAATAAATTTACCAACAACTTGCAAGGCTTTTGGCCTGGAAACTGAAACATCACCAATATAAATTAAAGAACTATGTAAATGGAGAAATGTACAATGTTTGTTGATTGGAAGATTTATTTTTTAAAAAACGATGTCATTTTACCTTAAATTTTGCAACACATTCAATGCAGTTACAATTGAAAAAAAATCCAACATGCTTTTTGGTAGAAATTGGGCAAGTTGATTCTAAAACCTCTTTGGAAACACAACAGACCTAGAATTTCTAAGACAATCTTAAAAAGAATGTACAGGGGCGCCTGGGTGGCGCAGTCGGTTAAGCGTCCGACTTCAGCCAGGTCACGATCTCGCGGTCCGTGAGTTCGAGCCCCGCGTCGGGCTCTGGGCTGATGGCTCAGAGCCTGGAGCCTGTTTCCGATTCTGTGTCTCCCTCTCTCTCTGCCCCTCCCCCGTTCATGCTCTGTCTCTCTCTGTCCCAAAAATAAATAAAAACGTTGAAAAAAAAAATTAAAAAAAAAAAAAAGAATGTACAAACTTGGAGAATTCACATCATCTGATACCAAGATTTTCTATAGGGCTCTAGGAACCAAGACAGTGCATATTGGTAAAAGGATAGACAAGT